ATTTATTATTTTTTAATTAGCACATTTGTAAAGTCAATAGGGTGGGGTCAGGCATGGTAGCTCATGCCTATAATTCCAGCATTTTGGGAGGCTGAGGCAGGTGGATCACTTGAGGTCAGGAGTTTGAGACCAACCTGGCCAACATGGTAAAAACCCGTCTCTACTAAAAATTCAAAAGTTAGCCAGGCGTGGTGGTGGGCGCTGGTAATTCCAGCTACTAGGGAGGCTGAGGCATGAGAATCACTTGAGCCTAGGAGGTGGAGGTTACAGTGAACTGAGATCACGTCACCGTACTCCAGCCTAGATGACAGAGTGAGACTCTGTCTCAATCAAAAAAATTTTAAAAAAAAAAAAAAAAAAAAAAAAAAAAGAAAAAAAAAAGAAAATACAAAAAAGTCAATAGGGTGATGTCAAGCTGAAATTTTCTATAGCACTCTTCATTCAGTTATTCAACAGATACTTATAGCACATAATATTTGCCAGGCACCATGCATGCTAGGGGCTGGGCGCTGGGGACACAGCACTGACAATGTAAATACGGCTCTGGAAGTCTTGGTGTGTACTTCCAGTGACTTGAGAGGAGGTAGAGCTTAATGATCGCTGGATGGTCCAGGATGACGTCATGGGGAAGCATCTGGGGCTAGTCTTGATGGAAAAGGCCATTATCCCCAAGGATAAGGGGTTGATGCTTCAGGTGGAGGTGGGGCTAGCAAAGGCTTTGAGGGGGGTGGGGGGAAGGAACTGCAAAACAGGATTTGAGGCATTTAGACTTTAGCAGCATCACAGACTTGGGAAGTCAGTGAGAAAAATGAGGAAATGGGAATCTTTGCTATCTTAGGCTGCTTATCTTTCCCAGAATCTTATCTTCCTTTCCCAGGAAGTCCCCCAGGTGCCTCCAGCACTCCTAGAAATGTTGGTTGAATGAATGAAAGAAGGATGGTAGGAGAGCAGGGGGAGATAAAAGATACAAAAAAGAGGAAGGAACAAAAAAGAATGAATCAGGAGATTTAAAAAAGAGAAGGAGTCCCCATCGTGTAATTCATGAACTTGAGAAGCTATTTGGAGTAGGGATAAAAACGTGTGTGTGTGTGTGTGTGTGTGTGTGTGTGTGTAACAGGCAGAGACTTTCAAAGCAATCAAAGTAACTCTGATTAACACTCACCCTCTCTCTCTCAAACTCATTTCCTCCCAGGCAAGGCCCAGGGCAGACACAACTGACTGTAACCCTAAGAGGGAGGAAAAGCTTGAGCAATTATTTTTATACCAAAAAAAGAAAAAAAAAAAAAAACCTCAAAGATGCAGGCGTGCTTAGGGCCCCAGCCAAGCACTTTGAGCTTTGAGGTTTGAGCCTGTCGTATGCCCTTACCACCAGCACCCCATCTCCAAGCCTTCCTTCTCTCCCAGCCCCCACATGGTCTGGCCTCTATCTTCTGCCCGCCTGTGACAGACGGGCCAGGCCAGGCACCCCCAGAGACCATCCCCCTCCCCAGCCAGGGGCCTGTCCCCTCTGAAACTGATCCCGTACCTTTGGATCTAATTTGTTTCTCTGTCTGCCAGGTTTGGGGGGGTCTTGCCTGGAGACGTGGTGGTCACAGGTGACATTAATCACGTCTGCATCTTCCGAGGGCTGAGGATAGGATATCAGAGAGGTGACCAAGCACTGGCCACATGATTCAAATCATCCCAGCATTGATTAATTGGGTTCATCCTGAGTTTCTGAATCATAACAACTGTTTTTCTCCTTCACCTCACGTCAACAGGCCCTTAAAGGGGAAGGATCCGTTTACCCATCGCATATGGTGCATTAAGTTGATCAGCTCCTATTAAATGTTAAACGCTGGATGCGTTTTAGACAAACTCGATTTGCTCAAGATACTTTTCAAAGGTTCTGTGATGATAATTAGCATCTCTCTCCCTGCCTCGCCCCTTCCTCCGGCTTTCCTGGGACATGTTTTGGCTCCAGCCTCTGACAGATGGGATGAGGGAACGTGTGGGCTGATAGAGAGGGTCCTTTGGAGGGGGAACTGGGTGGGGGGAGAGCCCCCACAGGCTGTTTAAAAGAGATACAGTTTCTGAAAAGTTTAATAAGGCAGAAAACAATCCCGGATGCCAAATTTGCTTTCCAAAAGCTAACTATTCAGAATGCCTCGTGCTCCTACATGGAGGAGAAAACAGCATTTCTCCAGCCAAAAAAGCTGTTTTCTAGAGAGGAGAAATTCTGTTTCTGCACGGGGATGGGTGCTGGAAGCTTAGTGACAAAAATGCAGAAACAAAACCCGGTTCTAATGCAAATCGGTGAGAGAAGAAAGAAAATCAGTGAGACGAGGATCAGCAGAAAACAATAATCAAAGCTCAGGCTCATTTCTTTTTTCACTTTTGTTTTTGTTTTGTTTTTGAGACAGAATCTCATTCTGTTGCCCAGTCTGGAGTGCAATGGCGTGATCTTGGTCACTGCAACCTCTGCCTCCCGGGTTCAAGCGATTCTTCTGCCTCAACCTCCCAAGTAGCTGGGACTACAGGTGAGTACCACCATGCCCGGCTTATTTTTGTATTTTTAGTAGAGATGGGGTTTCACCATGTTGACCAGGCTCTTCTCGAACTCCTGACCTCAGATGATCAATCCACCTCAGCCTCCCAAAGTCCTAGAATTACAGGCATGAGCCACCATGCCTGGCTTTTTTTTTTTTTTTTTTTTTTTTGAGACAGGGTCATGCCCTGTCACCCAGGCTGGATTGCTGTGGTACAGTCACAGCTCACTATAGCCTCAGCCTCCTGGGCTCAAGTGATCCTCCCATCTCAGCCTCCTGAGTAGCTGGGACTACAGGTGTGCACCACCATGCCCAGCTAATTTTTCATCTTTTATAGAGACGGGGTTTCATTGTGTTGCCCAGGCTGGTCTCCAACTCCTGGGATCAAGTGATCCCCTGGGCCAGGCCTCCCAAAGTGCTGAGATTACAGGTGTGCACCACTGTGCCTGGCCCAGGCTCATTTCTTACTCCTCTCTATCTCTCGCCTGTGAAAGAGAGAGGTTCAGCAGGGTTGCTATATCACACTGGGTGAGTGACCTTGGAAAAGTCACTGTGTTTAACCTGAATCTCAGCCTTCTGTTTACAATAAGAAAATTAATACTATTCACTTCCATTGAGAAGTTAAAACTAAAAGAAGGAATTTTAATCCCAGCACTTCGAGAGGCTGAGGTGAGAGGATCACTTAGACCCAGGAGTTAGAGCCTAGCCTGGGCAACATAGGTAGACCCCGTCTCTACAAATAATATTAAAAAAAGAGGAACTTTAGTCAAATGGCTTAGCAGATGCTGGGTTCTTGGCAGACACTGACCTAATAAGTGTGTGTATGTTGGGGTGAGGGGTGGCGCTGTACCAAGGAGACCCTGGTCCTTCATACGTGTGGATTGGTTTGGTTCACAATGTTTCAAAATATAGATGAGCTCCAAGGTTTAGCCAAAGGGACGTTTTTGGCTGGAAAACATGAAAATGTAGAGCCGGCCTCCTAGTGTGGGCCTGGAAGCCCCCAGCAATGTTGGACTAAAAAGTAAATTGGAAATTGATGAGCATGTCTGGAAGCCTGTCAGGGAGAATGAAGGCTGTTGACCCCCCACATAACAAAAACCTCCCAGGAATCCTTGTCAGCAGTGTTTTGTCTCCTAATAGCATGTTCAGTTATTTGAAATGACCCTGGTCCTCTGTGAACACAGGCTTGTTTTCAGTGATGGACAGAAGGTGAGTAAGGTATTGGACAGGGTTGTCCAAACCCTGCGTGCCCTGGATGGACTTTGGACTGGGGTGAATCTCATCACCATGAGCCATGTTTCCCTGGTGGCTGCTGCTAATTGTTCTGTGGAACGACTGGACTTTTCTGGTGCTCTGGGAATCAGAGGATGGACAGGCAGGCCACATATGGGGGAAGAGGAAGAGATGCGGTAGAGGCCATGTAAGGAGAGACAGAGACAGACAGAGGAGAAATAGAGAGACAAAGAAAGAGTCAGGCAGAGAGAGAGAAAAAGAGAGAGAGAGAGACAGAGAGGAGAGGGAAGAGATAGAGGTTAAAAGTCTAAAAGTCTGAGAGCATGAAAGCAGCAGCAGAAGAAAAAAGGAAAGGGAGCGAGACAGAGAGAATTACCCACAAATTCTCTCTTCTACAGAAGAGAATTTCTGTAGAAATTCTCTTTCTACAGAGCCAAGGATAGGGTCAGAAATACAGATAACACATGCAAAACAGAAACATGACAACTCAGCTACATAAGGAGAAATAGAGGCCGTGGTTTATGCTGGGAATCCCAGCACTTTAGGAGGCTGAGGTAGGCAGATCACTTGAGTCCAGGAGCTCGAGATCAGCCTGGACAGCATAGTGAGATCCCATCTCTACAAAAACTTAGCCGGGCATGGTGGCATATGCCTATAGTTCTAGCTACTGGGAAGCTGAGGTGGGAGAATCACTTGAGCACGCGGGAGATCAAGGCTGTAGTGAGCCATGATCGCACCACTGCACTCCAGTCTGGGCGACAGAGTGAGACCCTGTTTCAAAGAGAAAAAGAAAAAAATACAGGGAACAAGTGAGTGAGCAGCGAGGGGACTTGCAAGGTAATATCTGGTACATGGAGGTGCTCTATGCCTAGGAAGCTTGCTGTCGTTTCTCTCCCAAAACACTGAGTCCCTCTCAGTGTCACCAGACTTCAAAGTCCCTGGCAAGCCTGGTGCTCTTAGGGACACTACTAGGATATCACAAGTTAGACATCAGGGCTGCAAGGTGGGGTTCCATCAGGGGAGGGATAAACTGCGGAAAGGATCAAAGGGAGCTGGGGCCTTGGATTCACTGGCAGGACTCCCAGTGGGCCCACAGGCCTCAATTCCTGGCGGAACCCCCAGGAAACATTCTGATGTGCAGAGAGAGATGTTCCAACTTCATGCAGGCTGCCTCCTCGCTCCCTCCCTCCCTCCCTCCCTCCCTCCCTCCTAGTCTTCCATGTTCCTTGAAATCACAGTTGAGGGTTGATGAATGCTTAATTGAACTCAACAGATAGCAGGGTCCTGCTTGAGTTTGTTTCCTTGTGTAGACCATGACCATTGGCTTAAGCTGGAGTCTGCCTTACCAAGTTGTCCAAAGACCCGATGGCCTGGTGTTAGTGCACTGGTGGCAGAAGAACGTGCTCGTTTGGAGTGAGACATTCTTGGGAGGAGATCAATTTCTTGAACCTTAGTCTCCTCCTGTGTGACATGGGGGTGATGTTATACAAATATCTCTCTGACTGCGTTGCTGGGAGCCGTACATGTGATTGCTAATGCTGAAAGTGGAACCCGCGCCTGGCACATAGTAAGCGCTCAGCACTTGGCGGCTCTGGAGTGCTTAGAAGACAGAAGCCAGATCGCTGTCCTGGACAGGGGGTAATATATGGCATCGAGCTCCGACTGAGAATTGAATTCAACCTCAGCCGGAGAATTAGAACATTGTGATTAGAAACAAGAAGAGAGAAGGGACAAAACAACCTGTCTTCAAGTGCATGATGACAGAGCACAGACTTTCCTGGCAGCCCGAGGGGCTGGGGAAGGACAGGGCAGATCATATTAATAACGATAAATTATATCTGCACTATGATTTATGGGGCCTGATGTGCTTCTCATTATGCTACCTTACAGTACCATAGGAAGGGCTTATTATCCTCATTACTGTGTGCTGCAGTGGTTTTAGTGTAATTGTTGCTGTTAGTGACCGTAGTGTTATCCGCGCTATTATGGATGTTATTTCTCCTTGTTTCCAAACTGGGGAAACTGAGGCTCAGAGGGAGCTAGCGACTTAACCAAGGAAAAGGTTGGTGCTAGCATTCAAATCTAGGTTTTTTTAGTCTTGGAGTTTTATTCTGGCTGCATTCTACTCTCTTATAATCCCCTTTCCACTCTGCCATTTTGTAACCTCTTTGGTCTGGGGAGTCTTGGTCCCTCTTTCCCACAATGGACAGTTTTTTTTTTCCTTGTTAGCCAGGGGTGATGGGGCTCAAGGGCCCCTTCCATCTGACCACCAGGGCCTCCCTCTGTCTATAACCAACCAGCACTCCATCCCCAGGCCTATTCCCCCTCATGGGAGCTCCAAGTTCAGTAAGAATCCCTGCAGGCAGCTACCCATTGCAAGGCAGGCAGGGGTGACACAGATTTGAACTTGAACTTTCAAGTCTTCCCCTTGGCTGGCCTCACTTTTGTCTTTGAACCCAGCAGCAACCTGGCCGGTGGTTTACCCCACTCATTCTCCTTCACTGCCTTCTCCTTTCCTTCTCTTCTCCCAAAATCTGCTCAGGATTGAGATGGTTAGGGACCAGGTTCATTTAGCATTTGCAGGATGAGCTATTTCAAGAATGTGCAGATTCAGTCTCGGAAATGGCAGAGGAGAAGCCTGGCTTGGCTTCTGAGCAGGAGAACAAATGAACCCCCGACCCCCCCTTCCCTATCCTGCGATTTCCTTTGTCTCAATCCAAAATCCCCCTTTACATGATCCTGGAGGCTTCCTAATAAAACAGAACCGTAACTTTATCTAAGACGAGTGCAGCACATGTAGAATGGATAAGGTGTAATTAATAACAGAAAATAATGCTTCCCCCTCCTGACCTTTCACCCTCATATAAGTGTCTTAAGTTTTATGACAGCTAAGCACAAAATTAGCGTGTGCATGCATGCGTGCATGTGTGTGTGTGCGCGTGTACTTCAGTGTGTGCGTTTGAGCTGAACCTATGTGGGGCCAATACGTCTGTCTAGTGAGTATTCACCTAACCCTGGCTGGAACTGGTTTACGTTTCTGGGTAGACTGGCCTCTCGCTGAACCCAGGAATTGCCTGAAACTGATCTGATTTCTTGAAGTGAGGATTCTGTCTGGATCTCAAAATATCCCATGTCTATTTGCATGCAAATGTTTGGACAATGCAGGAAAATATATATATATATATATAAAAATAAATAAAAGGATGGCATGTGAGCATGTGCATGCAGACACACGCACACACACTCACATACACACACATTCACATACACATATACACACACATTCACACACACACTCACACACACACACTAGCCTTTGGGTTGTCTACGATATTTTAGAACCGCGGTGGATGCTGGGGAAGGGCTATTGATACTTATCTGTGTACCTAACAATGGGCAGGAAAGCAAGATAAGCATTTCATTGGTTTTGATGCTGGAAATTCTTGGGACATACAAAGATCTCATGATGGAAAATGCTCTCTTCAGCAACTGCAGTGCTCCTGATCCCCAGCATGGCATCTTCCTTGCTGTTTATCTAGGGGCCAGTGAAAGACATGTGCTCGACTTAGCAAGACAGGGGCTAAACAAACCATGGTGAGGAGAACGGCACTTACCTGTCTTCCCAGACTGCTGTCTGCAGTCGAAATTGAAGTGAGTTTGAACCAATACTGTTTATCTTAATGGTTCCACAACTATGTTCGTTTTAAGTAATATTATCTTTCTTTAAAAGGTCACTGGGCTGGCCCGAGCTATTGGTTTCTCGTGATTCATTACGTTTGATGTTCAACTTTTCTCGAAGTCCGCAACACCAACCTCTGGGTTAATGGAAGCCACACCGGCCATGAAGCCAGTGGCTTTGAATCCTCCCTGGATGGGGAGGCCTGGGCCGGGCAGAGTGAGCTGCTTGCTTTTGATCAGCAGTGCTGATGTGAACCAGAGGTCACGCATGTTTGGGGCCTGTGTGTTAGCTCTACCAGACAGCAGCAACTGGGCCTCGACACTCCCTCCCACCCCAAGCCCCTTGAGTTTCGTTTTCCATGGTTGTCCCTCTGTGGGCTGACTTTTTCAAGACCCCTAGGGCACCATAAAGACTTTTGCTGGGGGGAGATCCAGGGCCCTAAATCACTGGAGAAGTCTCCTTTGTCCACTCCAAGGGTCTTCCTCTTTCCATCCTTGACTGTTCCAGACACAGACAGATACACCAATTCCCACTCCCTCAGGGAATTTCTGCTCACCAGTGACAGGTGGATTTGCAGGGAGATCTCTTTCTCCCAGTAGAGTCTTTGGGTTGTTGAGTTCTTTTATGGGCATGCTTGAACTCTGGAGGGCCCCCAAACTGACAGCCACCTCTGTCTGCTAAATCAATCGTAAATTTTCCTGGCATTATGTCATCCTGTCATCCTTTTACAGATGCTTTTGCCTGCCATATTTTTATGGCTCTTCTTCCAAGAGGGGCTGCATGGAGGGTCAGCGTTATTTATCTCGAAGGAGAAGAGCAGGAGAATCTCTTATCGCTGGTATCAGAAAGTGGGATTTCCCACTTATCACCCCCTCTTTGGCTTTGGAGTTTAAAGGCAACACCAACTGGCTGGATCGAGTAGTTTAGGGAGTTCCTTAGGCTGCCATCTTTATAAAGTTGACAATGACCAGAAAATGGGGGACTTCCACCCTCCCCTAATTTCATATCCTGCTAGATACTTAAAATCATAGTAGACCAGCCCTGGAGTTTGTTTCCAGGACAAGAAGATCTTGATTGGATTAACGTATTTCCCAACGGAGGCTCTGAGGCTTTGGCAAACACAATAAGAGGAGTAGCTCTTAAACAACAACACTTGAAAAATTAAACGAGTAATATATATTCATTATAGGAGAAGTAGAAAAGGCAGATAAGGAAAAAGAAGAAAATGAAAATCACCTGTAATCCCATTACATAGGGCTAACCATTCATAGTTTACCATATATCTTTCCAGTCTTCTTCTGTGTATGGTATATACGTTTGAAAATGAAAATAAGATGATATCACATATACTTTTTTGTATTTATTTACTTATTTATTTATTATAGAGACAAGAGCTTACTATGTTGCCCAGGCTGGTCTCGAAATCCTGGGCTCAAGTGATCCACCCACTTTGGCCTCCCAAAGTGTTGGGATTACAGGTGTGAGCCACGAAGTCCAGCTTGCTTTCTTGTTCTTTTAGATGGGCGTTCCTCTGTTGCTCAGGCTGGAGTGCAGTGGTGTGATCATACCTCACTGTAACCTTGAGCTCCTGGGCTCAAGTGATCTTCCCACCTTGGCCTCCTGACTACAGGTGTGCACCACTGTGGGACTACAGGTATGCATCACCATGGCTGGCTAATTAATTTTTTCTTTTTTTTTTGGTAGAGATGGGGTCTTGCTCATGTTGCCCAGGCTGGTCTTGAACTCTTGGGCCCAAGAGGACCTCCCACCTCAACCTCTCAAAGTGCTGGGATTACAAGTGTGAACCACTGTACCAGGTACATATCACATATACTGTCAATGGTTCTATTCATCAGGTAAATCATATACATACACATATATAATATTATATTGTAATATATTCTACACATAGTATATTTATTTATCTATTTATATATATTTTTTTGAGATGGAGTCTCGCTCTGTTGCCCAGGCTGGAGTGCAGTGGTGTTATCTCAGCTCACTGCAACGTCTGCCTCCCAGGTTCAAGTGATTCTTCTGCATCAGCCTCCCGAGTAGCTGGGACTACAGGTGCATGCCACCACACCCCATTAATTTTTGTATTTTGGTAGAGACGGGTTTTCGCCATGTTGGCCAGACTGACCTCGAACTCCTGACCTCAAGTGATCTACCTGCCTTGGCCTCCCAAAGTGCTGGGATTATAGGCATGGGCCACCATGCCCGGCCTATGATATATTTAAATAATACAGACATAAGAACAATAAAAACCAAATTGTACCCACTCTTTACCTCCCAGTGAACACCTTTCTAGATCTCTCTTTTCAGATTATTTGCTAACCTGCTTTTACAAACCTTAGCAATATAGAATGGGCTTCTCCATGCCAGTAAATCTGTCTCTACACCAGGAGTTCAGTTGTGTTTCACTGTCAGGATGCATCATGGGCCAGGCTCAGTGGCTCATGCCTGTAGGTCCAGCAATTAATTTGGGAGGCCAAAGTGGATAAATCACCTGAGCCCAGGGATTCAAGACCAGCCTGGGCAACATGATCAAACTTTATCTCTGTAAAGAATATAAAAGTTAGCTGGGTGTGGTGGTGTGCTCCTGTAGTTCCAGCTACTTGGGAGGCTGAGGCAGGAAGATCCCTTGAGCCTAGGAGGTTAAGGCTGCAGTGAGCCATGATCATGCCACTGCACTGCATGCAGCCTAGGCATAAAGTGAGACCCTGTCTCAAAAAAATACAATTAAATTGGAGTAAAATTTTATGATGCACCAGGCTTTAGCTAATACCCCCGAGCTGCAGTTGTGTAGGTAGCTGATTTCCAGTTGTTCACAAACACCTTTTCTCCCAGCTTATTTGCCAATACTGTATCAGATGAAATTTGCTTCCCACCCGCAGCCTATCTGACGAAGTTTCTCCACCCCACCCACAACTCTATTTAGCAAGATGGAAATTCAAATATGCTCAGAAGGTTTTTGTTTTTGTTATTATTATTATTTTTTTGAGACAGAGTCTCGCTCTGTCACCCAGGCTGGAGTGCAGTGGCGCAATCTCTGCTCACTGCAACCTCCACCTCCTGAGTTCAAGTAATTCTCATGCCTCAGCCTCCCAAGTAGCTGGGATTACAGGCACGGGCCACCACGCCCAGCTAACTTTTGTGTTTTTAGTAGAGACAGGATTTCACTATGTTGGCGAGGCTGGTCTCAAACTCCTGACCTCAAGCGATCCTCCTGCCTCAGCCTCCCAAAGTGCTGGGATTACAGGTGTGAGCCACCGCACCCGGCTACTCTCAGAAGGTTTTCAGTAGCAGAAAAGCCAACTGAGTCATTTAAATGATGAGGGGCCTATCTTTCTCACATGATGGATAGTCCAGAGGTGGGCTGCTGCCCTATGAGGTCACCAGCACCCCACTTTTCTCTATTTCACTTCCACCATCTTCAGTATTTTTCTTGTTATTCTCGTGCTTGCCTCTTGTTCGATGATGGCTGCCTCAGCTCCAGGCATCACATCTCTGCCATTAAGACAAAAGAGTGGCACTGGAAGAAAGGCTTTCCTCTTGAGCATTTCTCCTTTATAAGAAACCAAAACTTGGCCAGGTGCAGTGGCTCATGTCTGTAATGCCAGCACTTTGGGAGGCCGAGGAGGGCGGATCACTTGAGGTCAGAAGTTCAAGACCAGTCTGGTCAACATAGCAAAACCCCGTCTTTATGGGGGAAAAAAAAAAAAAAATTAGCCGGATATGGTGGCGCGTGCCTGTAATCCCAGCTACTCAGGAGGCTGAGATGGGAGGGTCGCTTGAATGTGGGAGGTGGAGGTTGCAGTGAGCTGAGATCACACCACTGCACTCCAGCCTGGGCAATGGAGCAAGACTTTATTAGCTCAAACAGCATGGTCAGCTGTAGCTGCCAAGAGGCCAGGAACGTGAATCTTTCATTTTTCAGCCTCATGGTAGGCAGCAGGAAGGGAGAGGAATGCTGGGATTGGGTGCTGCATCAGCTAAGCAATGGTTTAGACAGAACATCTAAAACATTCTCTTTACAGCTAGGCCTATTCTGGGCATTGCCTTCACTTATGACTCTAACTTCCCTTGTCTCACCGGTCTCTTATGTCTCCAATCCCTGCTCCTAACTCTTCTTCTTTTTTTATGTTTTTTTGAGTTGGAGTCTCACTGTGTCGCCCAGGCTGGAGTGCAATGGTGCAATCTCAGCTCACTGCAACCTCCACCTCCTAGGTTCAAGTGATTCTCATGCCTCAGCCTCCTGAGTAGCTGTGATTACAGGTGTGTGACACCACACACACCTGGATAATTTTTGTACTTTTAGTAGAGACGGGGTTTCACCATGTTGGCCAGGCTGGTCTTGAACTCCTGACCTCAGGTGATCCACCAGCCTCAGCCTCCCAAAGTGCTGGAATGATAGGCATGAGCCATTGCCCCCGGCCCCTGACGTTTCTTATTGTGTGGTCTGGCCTCTTGCTTTAGGAGATACATTTGGACTCCTTCATGCTAGACTTGGCTTCTTGTTCAACTCTTGCCTCTGTCTGGCAGATGCTTCCTACTTTGTAAAGTGCTGGAAAATTGGAAGGACTTGTTTATTTGCAAATGGAGTCAGTGCTGAGCTCCACAGTGCAGGGACTAGGAATTCCTTCTGTGAATTCTCAGTCTCCAGCAGAGAGGCTTTCACAATTTATGTCCATTTAACCCAAAAATGGTTAAACCTTGATTCCAGAAATGTTTACCAAGAAGAAACATTCTGTAGCATTAGAACTTGCACCCTTGAGAACTCTGCTTTGTAACTAGAATCATGGGATGCTTTTGAGTTGAACCATGCTCCAGTTATTTTATTTTATTTTTTTTAAGACAGAGTTTCCCTCTTGTTGCCCAGTCTGGAGTGCAATGGTGTGATCTCAACTCACTACAACCTCCACCGCCCGGATTCAAACAATTCTTCTGCTTCAGCCTACAAAGTAGCTGGGATTACAGGCATGTGCCACCACACCCGGTTAATTTTGTTTTTTTTCGTTTTGTTTTGTTTTTGTTTTTGTTTTTGTTTTAAGTAGAGATGGGGTTTCACCACGTTGGTGAGGCTGGTCTTGAACTCCTAACCTCAAGCGATCCTCCCGCCTCAGCCTCCCAAAGTGCTGGATTTACAGGCGTGAGCCACTGTGCCTGGCCCGTGCTCCAGTTTTGTCTTAGGAGAGTTTTCTCTGCCTTACAGCCACGAAGTCCATGCTCTAGGGAGGTCTAAAGCTGTGTGGAGAGAGTCTGTTGCTGGGTGTGCTGTGAACCTGCAGCTTAGAGCCAGATCTAGATTCATGATGATGATTTCATGATTTACCAAAATGAGTTCATGGTCTAGATAGGATGGAAACAGAGAAACCTATTCTCCCAGTGTATGTCAAATAAAACTGGAAAAAAAGTAACATTGGTCCTACAGAAAAAAATATAAAAAGGTGAAGAAAAAGAATGAACTTTTTGGCTAGGCATGGTGGCTCACAGCTGTAATCCCAGCACTTGGAGAGGCCAAGGCAGGAGGATTGCTTAAGCCCAGGAGCTTGAGACCAGCCTGGGCAACATAGGGAGAGCCCATCTCCACAAAAAAGGAAAAATAAAACAATTTAACTGTTGGTCCCAGCTACTTGGGAGGCTTAGGTGGGAGAATCGCTTGAACCCAGGAGGTTGGGGCTGCAGTGAGTCATGTTTGCACCACTGCACTTCAGCCTGGGCAACAAAGTGAGATCCTGTATCTCTCAAAAACAAACAAACAAACAAGCAAAGCGGCTACCAGGAGCTGGGGGTGGGGAAAATGGAGAATTGTTCAATGGATATAAAATTCCAGAGCTCTTATGTACAACATTGTGCTATAGTAAATATGGTATTGTGCACTTCAAAATGTAATAGGAAGGTAGATCTCATGTTAAATGTTCTTATCACAGGAAAAACAAACAAAAAACAATAACAAAAACAAAAGCACACAGGACACTTAGGAAGGTGTTGGATATGTCTATTACTTTGACTGTGGTGATGGTAGCACGGGTATCCACACACATTCGAACTCATCAAACTTACACACATTAAATATATCCAATATCCAGTTCTAGCCAGGCGCAGTAGCTCATGCCTGTAATCCTAGCATTTTAGGAGGCCGAGACAGGAGGATCATTTGAGCTCAGGAATTCAAGACCAGCCTGGGCAACATAGTGAGACCTTACCTCTATTTA